AGCTCTGAGTCAGTGTCTGTACAATCATCAGAGTCACTAATCCAAGCCAGTCCATCATGGTTCTGTTTTCCAGCTGAAGTTTGACATTTTAGTACAGGTGTGGTGGGGTAGCCTAGTGGTTATTGTGTTAGCCTGTCACACCGAAGAGCTGGGGTTGATTCCCCACATGGGTACAATGTGTGAAGCCCATTGCTGGTGTCCCCCACCATGATATTGCTGGAATATTGATAAAAGCTGTGTCAAACTAAACTCACTCATTCACTCACTTCTTAGAGTGAGTGAGTGAGTTTACTTTTACGCCGCACTCAGCAACATTCCAGCTATATGGCGGGGGGTTCCTAGAACATTGAAATATCAACATGCACTGGGTGGGAGTTGGTATAAATGTGAGGTTACATTTTACATCACCAGTGCAAGTTCTAATTGCTTAAATCAAACCCTGTTTAGAATCCACTCTGAAATGGTGTATGATAATGATTGTCATCCATTGAATGCATTACATGTGGGGCGTGGTGGGCGAGATGTCTAAGGTGCCAGCGAGTGATCCAGCGAGCTTGGGAGGCCTGGATCGAGCTCACCTGTGACCGGGTGTAAAAACATTGGAGTCAAGTTTGTGTGCAGACTCTTTCAGTGTTGTCACAATCCCTAGTGTACAGTACACAACCCTGTGCACTTAAAAGAACCCACGAATCCCTTGGTATGTGACCAGATGGTGGCCACATGAATACATGCAAACACCTAGTTGCGGGTACAGCAACGTGCAGTGAACTTGGACAAAGTACTGTGACTATGTGTCCCAGTCCACCCAGCTGTGAATGGGTACCTTGTAAGGAAGGGAAAGCCACATTAACTTAGCGCCCCTAGTGGCTGCAAGAGTTGTATGATCCACAGGGAGTTGAGATTGATAACACAACGTGCCGTTTGAGACTGACATCAATGATCGATGGAAAAACAAAGCGTCTTAGAGTGATCTAGAACTTGTTCAAATAGGGAGCTATAGAAATGTGGCATATATTAAATAATAACAATAATAATAATAATAATTATGATTGTGAACACTTCCAGGAGTGACTGTGGACACAGAGAACATTGAGACCTGGGTGAGCATAGCTTCAGACGTAGCAACCAAGACTTTAACTGACGACTCCTTCGAGCATCTCACCCAGGCAGCCACTGGAGCCACAACAGGCGACTGGCTTGTTGCATTGTGAGTATAGGAGCAATTTTATTTTTTTATTAAATGTTTTTCCCCAAATTATTTTTTGAAATTTTTTGATAAATCATATTGAAAAAATACAAAACTGTTCATAAATGCAGCTGGATGTCCTGCAAAAATATGTGTTTTGTAAAATGAAAAAAAATGTGTATTGTGCAAAAATTTATTGTTTACTTCGAAGCAGTGACTGTAAAAATATCCTGGATTTTGGAGAAGTTTCTTTGATGTTCTAGTAATAGTAATAGTCCGCTTATATGGCGCTCATATCCAGGCGCATTGCCTGCTCACGGCGCTACGTACATTACTATCCCCGGTCATAGGACACTATCGCACTTTCCGATACTTTTTCAACTCCCTGGGCCCCGTTCCTCAAAGCGATCGTAGCGCTAAGATGATCGTAACTCCCATACTTTAACATAGACTTACGACTGTCATAGGGCTACGATCGCTTTGAGGAACAGGCCCCTGGTAGATTGTAGTAGAAGGAATACTAGTTCAGAGACTGCCATCATACACCTGCAATATTGCAGCCTAAACAAGAAATACACCTGTTGATCTCTCATGGTGATGGGGCGATGATAGCCTAGTGGTTAAAGCGTCCCCTCATCACTCTAAAGACCCAGGTTTGATTCCCCACATGGGTACAATGTGTGAAGCCCATTTCTGGTGTCCCCTGCCGTGATATTGCTGGAATATTGCTTAAAACGAAGTAAAACCCAACTCACTCACTGGCTCTGATGGTGACCCTAATGGCTTGTTTATGTTGCAGTTACAAAGATTCCTGTTCAAAGATTCTGTTTGCCATGGAAAGTTTTGGAGTCAGGTAGGTGATTCTGATGTGAACTCGTTCCTCGTTTAAGGTGAGGTAAAATGGGGCTTAACATCATGTTCCAAATCACCGCACATGTATGTATCTTGTGTGTGCATGAGTTAATGTCTGTTTATAGTCAACAATCCATCTGTCCGTCCGTAAGCATTGTCTTTCTGGAGCCTAACTTAAAAAAAAAGGTCAATATTTTGCAACAAAAATTGGTACGTATTTTGTTTCTGGAGCATAGCTCAAAAATTCCTCAATATCCATCAATCAAACTTGGCAGATATATGAGTCATATCCCAAAAGTGCTGCCATTTGCTATTTGCAGATTTTGGGCATTTTAATTTTTCTTGGTTTCCATGGAAACAATTTAGACTTAGCCTAAAATGGGAGGGGTGGGCTTCGTTTCCGGAGCACAACTGGAATACCGTTCAATATTTTTCTACAAGACTTGACTGATATATCAAACAGATCCTGAAGTGGTGCCTTATGTTATTTGCAAATTTTTGGCATTTTCATTTTTCTCGGGTTTCTATGGAAACTATTTGGACTTTAAAAAAAAGCAAGTTGGACTTTGAATAATTGTCAGATGATTTGCTCTTTCAAATTGTAGGGGCTGGGAGGATTTGTCATCTTTCGATGTCTCTTGATTCAGAATGCTAGCCCACTGAGATATTGACTCACAGGCAACCAGTATTTGTATTATTATTAAGAGCCAGGCAGGGTAACAAGTAGTACCATTCATTTTGAGACTGGTTCTATGTTATGGTTTTGTCAGATCAGGGATTAGTCAAGCTACAACTGTTGTGTGTCTAAGTTTAAGTCCTAGGTCCCCGTTGCACAAAGCTCTGGTTCTACTATTATAAGTTTAGTACAGATAGGGGAGTACGAATACTCAAAAAGCTACGAGATCTTAGGCTTACAAGAGCTTTGTGAAACGGGGCCCTGGAATTATGATTGGATTATTGCTGTGATTGCTTTGTAAATCAGGGCCATGATCATACTGGTCAGGGTGCAAAATAGCCACTGGCCCGCTAGCCCCTGACTAGCAAAAATCCAGTCGGGCCAGTAAATCTCCACAGATACTGGCCCAACTGGCTGGTGAATTTTCATGGGATCATTTTGTAAATATATCACTCTCTCAGATTTGGTAAGTTATAATACACTTTTAAATCATGCAAGATTATGTCCTGATAAAAATGTTCATCATTTTAGCAGCTTAATGATGAAACCTGTGTCTACATTCAAATTTCGGGCTAGTGAATTATTTTGTGGGCTAGCAACTTTCAGGCATAGCTAGCCCGACTGGATTGCAAAATTTGGAAACTATTTCGCACACTGGTACTGGTGCATGTACTTATCCCAAATATCTACTTATAGTATTACAACAAAATAAGTTCAGAGTTCAGTGAATGAATGAAAAGTGTTTGGCACAGACTGTTTTCTGATCGCTTATTATTGTGTTTGTGACATAAGTGTAATCATGTGACCAGTCATGTGACTTTGTAGCGACAGGGGTCCCTACCTTTAGTCTTGCTCAGTGTACAGCGTTTCAATATGGAGGAGTTATCTCCCTTTGTATGTGGATTGAGAGGGGAGTACATTGAGTGGAGATTAGGCATTTCTTTCAAATATATTATGCAATTGTTATTTGAAATTCAAATAAATGTTCGTAATATTTAGTTTTGTTGTGTCATGACTGGTCACAAATGATGTAAGTTTAACTAAAGTTTATTATTTTCAGGATGAAGAGGAAAATGAACGTAGCCAAGGTGGATATGGCAACCAATCCCCGATTGGTGAAAAGGATGAAAATTACAAAATGTCCAAGTGTCATATTGTAAGTGAATACCTGTCATTATACCACATGATGTTTATGTCCACTTTTGAGGATTGTGAAAATGAAACTTGAACATTTTTGTTTGTATGAAATGAGAGGAATCACCAGGGAAAGATATGCAATTTGTTCGAAGGGTGCCATAGAGCACCAGAGCACCAGGCAGATAATTTAGGTGTGAAAATAAGCGTGCCCATACCTTTTGATGATCCAATTAAACCTAAAACATCACAACAATTATGTCATTTTAGTTTATTATTTAATAAATCAGTAAGCTTTATGTAAACCTGTGAACTTGAGAGCTGGATTTCCTGAACACTATCATGACAACAAGAACAGCTTCATTTTTCTGGACCCATAAACTAACCCAGAAACGAAGTTATGATCCAAAACAGATAGTGCCACCAATAAACATTTTGTAGGGGCTTGTTTGATCGGCATTCTAGAAGTTGGTGACTCAAATTGAAGCAAACAACTTTATGGATGACAACTTCTTATTTATTGCATAGAGCGACGTTTCGATGTAGATTCTTACATCGTTATCAAGCTATGCACCATAGTTGTATGTTTCATTTTGTAGGGGTGCAGAAATAGGTTTAGAATCATTTGAATTGGTCAGTTGGTCATTTTCCACCGTTAAATGCATAATAGTGAGTATTATTTTTGTAATTTTAGTCATGACGCCAGGGTACATTGAAAATATTTCATCTGTCCGATTTAAATATTTACTGTGCCATGGCACACAAATGAAGCAGTATTTCGATCCCTGATCACAGTCTGATTCATGGCATTTGGATTTCCTTGAGGTCATGATGACCTTGCCTGTTAAGGAAAGAAGGAAGAAGTTGATACCCCAAGCTCTTTAAAATCAGATATGATTTGAGCATGGAATCATACTCAGAAAAGTGTTACAACCTCGGGCCCAGAAATTATCTTACTATTATCTTATCTCATTGCATCCCATTACATGACACCCATGTAGATCATATCATATCCGGGTTAGAATTGGCCTTCAGCAACCCATGCTTGCTTACCCCATGAAGTAAGAATTGGCCTTCAGACTTAGGGGATCGGGGTTAGAATCGGGCTAGCTCTTGGTTGACACATGTTATGAAATACATAGATCGATGCTCATGCTGTTGACCACTAGATTAAATCGATTATTTACAGCCCGCGCCATATAGCTGGAATATTGCAGAATGGGGCATTAAAAAACAAACAAACAAACAAACGTTACATGTCATGTTAGAACTACCTTGGAATAAGTGAGACGAAAATGACATGAGCCAATCAGAAAGCAGCTTCTTGACCTTCATGCCACAAGTTTCAAACTGGTGACTTCCACCCCATACTACCGTTTGAAACATTTCTTTGGTCTGATTTTAATGAAATTGTGAGATTGCTGAAATTCCCATACCACTCTCTTCCTAATTTGTACCTACAACTCTAGTCAGGAACCTATTCAGAATCAGGGCAGTGGGTAGCCTAGTGGTTAAAGCGTTCGCTTGTCACGCCGAAGACCGGGTTCGATTCCTCACATGAGCACAATGTGTGAAGCCCATTTCTGGAGTACCCCGCCGTGATATTGCTGGAATATTTCTAAAAGCAGCGGAAAACCATACTCACTCACTCACTATTCAGAATCTGAGATGTTTCATTGTGTTATATTCTTTCCCTTGCAGTTATAGACAAGGCAAAATGTACCGCTATGAAGTAGAAAAATATGACACCAAATCTTTGACATCATTCGTGGAAGGATGGTACAAAAATATGAAGGCAGAGTCGGTACCTGTGGATCCCTCAAGTTTGTGAGTATTCACCATGTGCTTCAGACAAATAACATAAAGCTTAAATTTAGTTTGTTAGGTTTTTAGATCTGCCAACTTAGATTCAAATAAAAAGATTCCAAAAGAAAACTTGGTAGACAGACTCCATTTCTGCAACAGTAAAACCATACAAGGCCATATTTAAATTTCAATGCGTAAGCTTGCATTTTCATTAAAAATAAACTTATTTAAGTTGTTGTATTATTTGAATAATAATATGATATAAAATGAACTTTCATGTTTATGAATAGTAGGATTAGATCTTTCAAATGGTGTATGACATGTAGTAGCACTAATGTTTTACAAGCTGATATTTTCCTTGATAAACATAGGCTCCTTCTTTGACCTCAGACTCTCTGGGTGTCATGGCAGTAATAGCTTCTGGTTGACTGGTGTTGAAAGAGTTAGACGACTAAGAAATGTTCCAAAATCCATTACAAGTCCGATTTGACATTTCGAATATTTCCAAGAACCCAAAAGAGGCCAAAATTTGTTTTATTTTTTGTCATCTGTTGATCAGAATCAAGCTTTAAGATGATTGAAAAAGTCCTGTAAAATGCAGTCTTTTTCACCCAAACCACCACAAACCATCTGTCCCTAATTTTGTAAATCACAAGCCTGTACTGGCAAACAAGGATAAGTTGGACTGGCGCAGAGAGCGCGTTTACGAGAAGTAGGCGGTGCACATCAATGAGCAAACAGTTGATTTGTGAAATGTAGAGCAATGTAGGCTAATTCACGTGCATTGCATGACGATGAAATTGATTCCGCATGTAGCTGCACATGCCTTGCTCATGAGACACTCACGTTGGTGTAGCAAGTCGCACTACACTTGATCGTAGACAACCTGGGCCCCTTCACTAACAATGACAAGCACCAGTGGGCAGCACTCATACATGCTAATACGGGTCAATTGTCAGGTCGGTGCTCAACTTATCCTTGTTTGCCAGTAGTTTATACTATTTCCACCCTGGTCTTTTTTTCGAGAAAACATTGCTTTGTGTGCTTTCTCAGATGTCAAACAGATACACAAGCTGAGATACTATATAACATATGTTATATCTGGGGATTACACTTTCTCAGTAAAGTACAGATTCTAGTACTTTTGTTGCGTTGAGTCCCATCCGGGATTCGAACCCACATTCTCAGAGTCGGGCACCTAAGTCTCACGCCAGTCATGTAGCTTTCGGACGTGGGAACCATGCCAATTTACACTTATCAGAGGGGAACAAAAAGTCGTGACCTGTGAAGGTCCGGGTTAGAATATTAATCTTCAGTAACCCATGCTTGTCGTAATAGGCGACTAACGGGATCCAGTGGTCAGGCTCGCTGACTTGGTTGACACATGTCATCGGTTCCCAATTGCGCAGATCGATGCTCATGCTGTTGGTCACTGGATTGTCTGGTCCAGACTCGATTATTTACAGACCATATAGCTGGAATATTGCTCAGTGTGGTGTAAAACTAAACTCACTCACTCACTCACTCCACATTTTGTGGAAGCTGCCAGCGCACTAAGTCAGCCATCTAACATACTAAGCCACCATGGCTGGCAAGTTCCAGAATATAAGAAAATATTATCCCAAATATTCTTCCCATGAAAAGTTTAGACTCACTAGTTTAAATATAGCCACTTACTTCTGGCAACTGTTCTAAACTAAATTTTGCAAAATATTCCCTACTGTTTAAAGGTACTGTTTACACATAAACTGATGTATTGTAAAACAAATTCGTAACGTTGAAAAGATTATTGTCATGAGTTCAATAAATGATAAAAATAAGTGAAAATTGGCGAATTCGTAACAAAACTTTACACCAAAACGCAGCTGTTCACATGCACGATATTTGCACATGCCTTTCAGCAATTTGATGCATGATCCTCGTGCAATTAAATATTCATCTGCATAAGATTTGCAGTTGGTTCCCCCAAGTTGGTGGAGAAATCAATCTTCAATGCAACCATATATATGTATACATAACATATAGTGAGTGTATTAAGCGAGGCTAAACTTTTGATGGGAAGTGTATAACATGTGTTACCACAACATGTGTTTGACAGCTTTCTGAATGGATACACAATTGTTCGAATGAAGTGACATAAAATGATCATGAGCGGTGGATAGTGTCATTTTCAACAATGCATTCATATGATGTGTCATGGCTATAGGCTTCTCAAACAATGAAACAATAGAATAATTGTAATTCTGCTAAACTGTTTTATGTGAGTCAATGTTGTTGGTCTTGAAAATCTGGTGCATAGTCATTTTGTCTCCGATATCTGTGTCCTGTGAAGATTCAGGTCTTCAGCAACCCATGTTATTATATGACGGGTAGATTTCCGCCCTTCTGATTGGCCCATTTGGTCACATGACAGCTGTGACGCTAAGTGATGTCAACCTCGACATTGATATAACAATCCAAGCACCTCCCGTGGCTAAAAATAGATTTGGGATATTCCAGCTGTGAACTCCGCACTGCTGAAATTGAGACTTGAAATATTTGAACTGTGATGTTTTAAAGATGTTGAAATGTTATTGACTGTTGAAAGATATCTAAAAGATTGTGATAATAAACAAGTTGAATTTTTAAAAAATGCTTTCATTTACTAATACTGCCTCTGAAAGCTGTAAGCCTATTCCAGCTTATATTGAGTCTCTCCTATGTCACAGAAGAACAGGTATTCAGTACTTTTGTCACATAATAAAACAGTTATTGACTTCAGTTTGGTTGATCCAATGATTTATCGATCTTGGACATGTGATATTCACCGAACATGTGAATATCACATGTCCAAGGTCGTTAAATCATTGGATCAACCTCACTAGAAGTCAATAATTGTATATTGTCATAAGAGGGGTCGGGTGTTGTTGATCACTGGATTGTCTGGTCCAGACTCTATTATTTCCAGACCGCCCCCATATAGCTGGAATATTGCTGAGTGCAGCATCAAACTTAACCCACTCACTCTGCCTGCCATCTAAAGAGGTTCAAACAAAGCCTTACATGGGGCTAGTCTGACGGAGTCCAGTCTGTCCTTTGAGATCTTCTTGTTGCAGACTTCCGTGACGGACAGGTCCTCTGAATCCATTGAACTTAAAAACAAGGAAAATTTATCCTCTATAAATAAAAAATGTAGCCTTGTGTCTGTCTGTGTCTTTCTGACTGACTGCCGGTGGGGTGAGAATATTTATACAAATTCAAATTTCATGTATGCCATTTGTGGACGCAGTTAAGATCATTAATGAATTTCTAATGAGTTTATTGCTTTCTTTCAGTGATGAACTTACAGAAAATATTGCAAAGGCTTTGAAAGTAAGTATCACAGATAAGCTATGGGTATTGTGTATTTTCAAGAAATATTAAACTATCTACCGTTGACAACTCCACTGATAACTGGTACATGTATATGTATATTTATATATGGAATGTCATACTAGTGCTTTTTGACCTAATGTATTGTTTCCAAATTTTTCATTCACTTGACGAAAGAGTAAGGGGCCCTTCTGACTAGGGGTCTGAGGCCCTTTCGACTTTTTTATGTGACCTCTTTGACTAGGGGTTTGTGGCCCTTTTGATTTTCTTGCATCCCTTTCATTTTTCTGTTTGGGGGCCCTTTTGTCATGCGACCCTTTTGACTTGTTCCCTCTAGAATGTTGTCCCTATTGTGACGTCACAATATATATGTAATGAAGTCATACTGTAACCGCTACAATCTCCCTGAAGAGTAAAGAACGAAACATTTTGGAGAAAAAGGCATTCTGTTTTTATTTATCTCTGTAATATATATATATATATATATATATACTTGTGCTTTGACCTAATGTATTGTTTCCAAATTCTTTTCATTCACTTGACGAAAGAGTAAGAGAATATAGTACCAAACATTGAGTACCTCACAATATAGAAGTTAATATCCATAAGATCTTGCCTTTGAAAGAAAAAGATTGCACAAATGTTGTGTGAAGAAGAGTACTACATGTGTTGAAGAGGACTTAATCAAGTTTCTACACATTGTTTTGTGTCTGTTTTTAGGACCAAATTGAAGGCCCTAATCGTTTCACCTTCCTGACAATAGCTGGAGGAGTTGCCTCCCTTGTTCTACTGATCCTCATCTGTGCCTGTGTCATGAGTCGTAGAGCTGCGGAGAGGAAGAAGAAGCTCTTCTAGATGCTGCCATGTGTGACGGTGTTCAGCCAAATGTATCCTATGTATGGAAGATCATGGGCATATTGAGTACACCTTAGTGTTAAGTGATGTGAGGAAATTTGAGGTGTACGAAGCGTGGGGTGAATAAATGGGTGTTGACGACAAAGTTCCTGAAAGGCATTGGACGAACATTAATACATGACACCAGGGCTCCAGATAAGGGCCGTATCAACGTATGTACGGATAAAAAATTTGCACGATATGGTAGGAAATAATATATAAAACGTAGCAGATACACACCACGGCAATGGTGTACGGTCTTAGAATCGTTTACAGACGTATTTATCTGAAAGAGTGTTGTTCTATTGTATATTGACCTGTTTACACTAAGACTAGCAATGTTGTGGTGCATATATGAATCGAAACACAAGATTACTGATACTCCATTAAATTCCATTCAGTACTCTAAATGTAGGCTTAAGGTTTTCGAGTACTCCTATATTGAAAAAATAAGGAGTACATACTCCTGTTGTTGAAAAATTATCTGGAGCCCTGTGACACGTTTTATGGATAATTAAATTAAATAATTAATAATAATAATTAGATTTATCACATAGTTTCAGAGTTAATTCTTGCTCCTTCATCATCCTGGGCCAAATGTCGAGATAGCATCAAAATATGGTTATATGACACACCGGCCTTATCGCCCACACTGTATATCTTGACCATGTTGAACACCAGTGCTTGTCACCGTCCAGTAGACCATGTGTTAGTATTCATGGAGTGGGTCTATGAACATGTGGACACTGTTTCAACAGTGGGGCAAACCTTGCTTTTAGTAACCTGTAGGGGTGAAACGGTATACCGCGGTATTAGTAGAACTGCGGTATTTTGCCTTCGGTTCGGTATACCATAATGCAATCAAAAAATCGGTATTCGGTTTTCGTACCATCATTTCTATCCAGTCATAAAATGGCAGTTTTGTTCATTCAAAATAACAAAGATTATGGTTATTTTGTTTCCATGCATGTTATTAAACAATGTAAGGTTTGGCTCTTGTCAATTTTCTGCATTATGATCATATCTCACATACCGAACCGAAACGGACCGAACCGAAGGCCTTGTACTGCAATTCGTACCATACCATGGTAAGAGCGTACCGTTTCACCCCTAGTAACCTGATACATTCAGTGGCTAGTTCCATATCTACAAGAATTTCTGGAGGGATTGAAGTGTCATACTAATTACTGGATCACATTTTTACTGCTGCTGAGAAAAAAACAGGGCCTGATCTAAGAGATGTTAACCTACTTGCACCAGGTGCAACCTAAGATAAAATCCTAGTTGCAACAGCCATATTCCAGTTGCACTGCTTTTATTGCAATATGTAATGAAAGAAATATGCTATTGAATTATTTAGATGTTTTATTCAGAGTTTACCCACTCAAACATTTACTTGCACCTGGTGCAAGTTAGACTGTAACTAGGTTGCACTTTGTAATATTGGGTTGCACCAGTGCAAGTAACAAATCACTAAATCGAGCCCTGTAAAAGATAGGGACTTTTCTGGCATTTGGCCGAGGACTATAATGAAAGAGTAAGAATTACCCTATGGTTGGGGACTGGTAGCAAAATATAGTGTCATGAAATAAACTGAAATCCAAAATAGATTATTATTGGAGATCCCATAGATTAACGCTTAGCCTCTGACTATATATAATTTTGATTGTAACCAATAAACCCATTTAAATTGAAAAGGAGACCCAAAATTCAGAACCTGAGGAAATCTAGACTTGCTTCATTTAGAGCTTTAGCACTGAACGGAGGGCTAGGTATTATGGAAAATAATGAGGTTCAGTGACTGTGAGACAGACTAGAGATCTCTGTGCATGGGGTTGTGTTACATGACACACACCTGTAGACACATTTCTGATTTGTTACAAAGCTCTGAGCTGCTTTTATGGATTACTGTTGACAATGATTGTATTATTGTTGACAATGCTTGCATTATTGTTGACAGTGGTTGTATTATTACCATTGGCAATGGACAATTCTTGTCATAAAGGCTTGTATTATTGTTGACAGTGGTTGTATTACCATTGGCAATGCTTGTATTATTGTTGACAAAACAATACAATCTCATCACAATCAGATCGTCAACTCGAGCACGATACCTCTCTGGTGGAGATCTGACTATCCCTCCATAAATAGATGAGTGAGGTGTACCTAAACCAAATTTTGACTGCAGTTAAAATGAAAAAATGCCAGTCCTCAGCCAATCAGTTCCAGGCTTTCTTATTCCTTTACCACCTTATAAGGATATTTTGATCTTATGAAATTCCCACTCAACACAATATCCTTTAAAGGTAGTCCCTACTTGGTGTAGATGTAAAAGAAAACAACTGATTGTAGAAAATATCTGAAAAACAAAATATAGCATGACTTTATTGTTTCCATTCGAAACTTCCTGTTTAAGTTCAGTATCAAGACACAAAAAATACATATGCAGCTGTGAATGCTTATTTGTAGCAAGAATGTAGACATTTCAGTGCTTGCTTATTAGATGGTGAAGAGGAACAATTTTTATGGATAGACACTTCTTCTTTACAATTGATGCGATGTTTCATTGAAGTTGCCAACAACATTATCAAGCATTTGATGATAACGGTGATATCATCTATGTGTTGATAACGGTGATATCATCTATGTGTTGATAACGGTGATATCATCTATGTGTTGTAAAACAAATTCAGTATGTGTTGATAAGTTCAGTAAATGCTGAAAATCAGTAAAATCATTCTTCACAAAACTTTACATGTGTTGATAACGGTGATATCATCTATGTGTTGATAAGTGGTGATATCATCTATGTGTTATATATATACATAACATATAGTGAGTGCTATCATCTAAACTTTGTTGATGATGGTGATATCATCTAGTGTTGATAACGGTGTTATCATCTATGTGATGATAACGGTGTTATCATCTATGTGATGATAATGGTGTTATCATCTATACCAAAATATAGTATCTATTTCAATGAAGAAGTTGTCTATCCATAAAAATTGTTCCTCTTCATCATGCCAGCATCTAAATGCCACTTAAAGATGCTATTAGATAGTTCAAGTGACAGATCTTCAATGGAAAGTTTGTCCACCTTCATGAAAGTGAAGATCTAAGATGCGGTTGCTTGGCATTGTCTTCTGTGAACTAATCGAGGAAGCCATGGCAACAACAATTTTGGTTTACTTTTTCACGCCAACATTCCTGTAATATAGAGATCATCCTGTATCATATTTATTTGACTTTTTACCAAATCATTATGAATGTTCACTTGTGTCTGTGTATGTACTTATTAGTGGTGGTCCGATTAATTGAAATAATCGAAGATTGGTCGTAGTGACTAAACGACCAAGCAATCGATCATAATTTCTCATAATCGAACACAAACAATTCTGGAACACTAGTTTTCATTAACAATATTTTTCACATGGTTGGTTTTGTCTGTTATATTTTGTAAGCACTGCTATCTCGTTTCAAGTCATGATTGAATTTATCTTAAAGATTCCAAGAAATTTATGTTCCCAACATACTAGTCATCCTTTAAAGATGTAAAATTTTGCACCCAAAAAATTAAAAGAACTACATGTTTTTTTCTTTATTTTTATGTGCATTAACAATTTTCATAAATGACGCTAACCAATTATTTTCGATGATTGATCGGTAGTAATGAACCAATCATCAATTATGAGATTTGAACCAATTCCCAACACTAGTACTTATGAGGCCAGACGGATTTGTTTTGTTCGATTTTTGGTCCAAATTCAGACCAATATGTCAGATAAATTATATCCTGACTGTTGTTAAGTAAAACCCATGAAGAAACATCAATCAGGATCTGTTATATATCTTCAACATAATTCCATTATAGTATTTATGATTATTTATTTTGAAAGCAATAAATGTTTCTTTGTGAACATTTAACATTATTTCTGGTCAGCAGGTTCAAAAGAACACACACTTCTATTTCATAGTCAGTGAACTTGTAAAGTGAGTTTTAAAGTCTGGCCTAAATTGGTTACTAAATGGTGTTCTGATGATAAAAAATAATCGAAAATCGATCGAAAGAAGGATTAAGAATAATCATGGATTGTAAAAAACACATTTCGATTAATCAGATATTTGTTGTTTTAGTATAACACTAGTGGTGGTCTGATTAATTGAAATAATCGAAGATTGGTCGCAGCGACTAAACGACCAAGCAATCGAACATGTTTTCTCATAATCGAACACGACCAATCTTGGAACACTTGTTTGCATTAACAATATTTTTCACAAGGCTGGTTTTGTCGGTGTCATTAAATTTACATTTCATAAGCACTACATGTACAAGCTCGTTCCAAGTCATGATTGAATTTATCTTAAAGAATCCAGGAAATATGTGTTCTTAACATACTAATCATCATTTAAATATGCAAAATTTGCAAATGGACTTTATGGAATTTGCACAAAAAACCAAATTACTACATGTGTTTTTCTTTATTTTTTTGTGACTATATAACACACTTGAATGAAGTAAAGTAACAATTACATTTCACGAATATTGACGAACAAACATGCGCACAACAGCGTAAAGCTATGCGCATTGTATTTACAGTTTCGTATTCATCACTAAGGTAAATATTACTGTAACCTGTCTATGAATAAATTTTACATCTATTGTGAACATAATGAGATCTACTGATAACTATTTGTTGTATAAATAAACAGAATGACAGTACTAGTTATGAAAAAACAACAACATAAAATACTTGGGAAAACCCTTAAATTTGATGATTACATCAAAAAATGTATATATTTCGATTACAATCGATAATCGTTCACCATATGTCCTCTGATAATCGATAGTGGATTTGGGTTCCAATACCCAACACTAGGTGTGGGTGGAGATCACGTGTATTTTGATAGTTTGATATGATTCAGCTGAATAAGCAATATTATCGTATATATTTATGATTTTTGATTGAGTGTGATTTTATGGTGAGGGTGTCATTCCAAATATGTTGTGTGTCTGATAGTCCCATCACAAGTTAATGGAGAAAAACAACCCAACATTAATTCATATCAGTCTTCTGATACACACTGATGGAGAGCTCGC